CCTGCGACGCTGCCATCCTCTGGTAGAAAGGCCATGAGGCAACTGCCAAGAAAGCCGAAAGAGAGCAGCAAAATGATCATCGGACCTCTTAGGTTAAAACGTCCTGCGAACCAACTCGCACTAAGCGTGCATATACACGCAATAGCGCCCGACGGAATGGACAAGAGTGCTGTTTCCTTGGACGTCCAACCAAAGCTCTTGATAACAGTCGCCTGATAACTACTGATAAATCCATTGGGAATGTTCGACGTAAGGACTATGAGTGTTAGTATCCAAGTTTGTGGATCCTTGAAGCACTCGAAGATTTGGTGCCGTTTGATGTGCTTATTCTCAACTCCGGTTAGGTTGCTTCGGAGGCGCTCGATAGCCCAGACCTTCTCCTCTTGCGTGAAGCCCTTCGCGGTCATCGGATTATCTGGGACGAAAATAATAACAAGAATTCCGACAAAGATCGTGATAACACCAAAGACGAGAAACATAATTTGCCAGGATTTGAAGTCGTTGCCGGTATAATGCTGAAACCCGAAAGATGTAATAGCGCCGACCATTTTGCCGACGCCAGTACCGACATACCAAAAACCGACTCTTGCAGGCTGTTCTGATCTCTTATACCACATTGTCGTCAAGAGTATGAGCGCAGGGGCCACCGCCGATTCGAAACAGCCTAGTAGAACTCGAAGAGACACAAGACCACCCCAGTTATGAGCTGCAGAGTTACAAGCGACCATTAAGCCCCATAGTATCACATTCCCGCCAAGGTATTTCGCTGTGGGCAGACGCTGCATAAGGTATCCGGTAGGGAACTCAAATGCTAAGTATGTAACGTAGAAGACAGTAGCAAGCTCTGAGTACTGATCACCATTGATACCGGTATCTTCTTGTAGCCCCATTACGTTGGCGTAATTTACTAAGCAAGAATTTAGAATAAATTGGATACGGCAATCACCATGTGAACATACTTAGAGTTTTATCGAGATACTGCAAAAAGTAACAGGCAACTGATCTCATTAGCTATCACAAAACCAGAGAGTTCCTTCATGTTGAACTTGATAACATACACATCAGAGGGACAATTCGCCAATCGATCTTTCGTAGTAGCTTCTTTTCATCTTCGGGGCTCATTGCTATGACATCTGCATTGTTGAGGTACTGCAAGGCGGCATCGCCATCGCTGACAACATCAGCACCGTGCTTCTCTGACATCTTGATTGTTCGGGGGAAGTTTAATATCTCTTCAAATCATCGATGTATTCAGGAATGAAATACTAGCATTTCTCTATAATTTTCAGGGCGGAACAAGTTGACGAAAACGCCTTTGGTGATCTTGGCCTATATACAACAAATGACCACAAGCGAGAGGACAAAGGGCGTGTAGTAGCAGAATGCTATCTTTTGTCCCCTCTCTGCCAAGTGATACGAAGCAGATAGCTTGGCCGACGATGATTGATTTCGTTCGATCGGCGCGCCCCGACATGGTACGTATTGTACCTATCTGGACACGCTCACCGGTAGGGGCCCCGGAAACTACCCATTCAGGAAGGACAACTACCAGACCCCGATGATTCGGGGCTCAAAGATCGGGATGTGAAATCCAGATAAGCACGGCGCAATCTTTGGTTAGCATTTCTGAACCCTTTGCCGATAACTATGAAGGGATGTGCGGGGAAGTCTTCGCCAAGTCGGGATCGACAGCACAGTGCCGATATGAATAATTCCGAGAGATAAGTTTGCGCGACACATGATTATATGACCACCAAAGCTAGATTATGTCAGTGCAAAATCGGTTTAATTGTTTCCGAGGAGAACCAGATGTCGTGACCTCAGTGTTGAGAATTACAGTACAAAATGCTTTTGCAATTTTATTGGCTAGTGATCTTGGACTAAGTTATTATATATTCAACTACCTGTCCATTATCGAGCTAGCCCTAAGCAACCACTGCTCTATGATAATCAAAGTAACGAGGCTCTTTCCAGGTCAAGTATTTGGATTGATACCTGTGGTGACTTCTTTTGGGTAGTATGGCCAGTACCGTAAGCGTGTCCTCAGACCTTAGGGCAGTAATGAACGGACAAAGATCTGCGCACCGAGTCTAGTTAGCTCGGACTGGTAACCTCGGAAAGAGAGAACAACCTAAAAGAACGGTTTCATGAGGTGGACCTCATACCAAACACTTCTCATTCCACGATAACAGTTGACACAATGTCAAATTCGGTTCTCGCCAGCCTCGAGACGTACGAAAAGATCCTAAACGATTCGTTCAGTGCCGATGACGCTCAATTTGACGTCATATTTAAGTCCATGTGGGCACGAGACATCGAAGCGACTGTAGACGGGAAAAGCTCTGGCTATGACGAGGTCTATAAAAGTTTGACAGGCCTTCGATCCATGGTCGCATCGGCGGAGGTGAAGGTTCTATCTCTATTTCGAGACGGGAACAAATACGCAGAACGACACCTTACCCAAGCCGTCATGAAAGATGGTAGCAGATCACGGGCCGATGCATACGTGTTTGGTGAACTAGATGAAGATGGCCGAATCAGGAAGTTTAGTGAGGCTCTCATCCTCAAAAACGACTAGGGACAGGGAAAGAAATCAGACTCGGTATTGTCATGACTTCGGAGAGATATCAATGGATTCATGAAGAGATTAGCTACTGGTCAATTCGTCAATCAACAATTGCTTTCTGCCTATCCAGGGAATGCTCCTTGACGTAGACATGCAGCTTTTCCATGCAGTCCCATCTTACCTTGCATTTCCACCCGGATCCAAGAAGCTATTAGTTCCCTATAATGTCACCGGAATAAAGAAAAGATACCAGAGCAGGAAGCCTGGGGCCCCCGGAGACGTTGGTTGCAGATGCATGCCGGCAACGGATATCGTTAGAGCCATGCACTAGGAAAGCGTAGCGATATCTTGTCAACAAACACTCGTTCAAGTTGGTCGAATTGTTGGCGAAAGTACCAGGTACGTTGTGGAGTCAAGGCTATGCCTAGAACGCGTTGACTAGAACATTCTTTTGGAGCACTGCTCCAGCCCAAGGTGGCAACCGAACCCGATGATGCCCAACCGCTTGAGTGGATGCCTTAACAATTACTGATTGGGCATTCTAAGCCCGGCATCTGAGCCAGAATGTGAGAACCTAACGATTCCGAACGAATTGGAAGAATTAAAAGTGGACAGCGACTGGGCCTGCCGGTCAGCTCACTCGATATGTCTGAGTTGTGAGGAAACCCTTATTGACTGGGCACAATTCAGGACGTCATCCTACAACTGACTGGATGCGACGCAAACACGACAACCCGACCTGGTAGGTTGCACAACAACGATACTAGCACAAAAATAGCATTGACAGTCCAATGTAATCCCTCATTGGCGGCTTCCACCCACATGTTGACTCACTCCATGGGTCCCGGGCTGGACCGAGCCAATGCCAAAGCTCTAGGGCTATGCGACCTACGTGTGCTCGAGTTTTATTGGGATATTCGAGCGTAATCACGTACCTTCATGGGCTACACACTCTCGAAACTTTAGAGATGGAATGTCAAGTGGCATGGACAATTAGAATGCAATGGGGCGGTGACAAGCGAACTCTTGTGAGAGGTTCTGCTTCGGCGACTATCACCGCGGGGCGTGGCTCATCACACCCGGACTTCGGGCCATAGATCTGTTTGGACAGCAAGTTCCTATCAATAACTCTCATTTGACACACACGTGGCAGTCTGCAGATCTTGGAACGCCAAACCGGATAGTTTGCCCTGTTTTCTGCGCGCGCAGTCTAACCAGACCAGACCCAGCCACTTGCTGCCCAACCATTAGACGCTGACATGCCGGGATTGCACTCCCTGCCGCTCCCGCTCAGCCCTCATATGAGGCTCATATGCACATGTCTCATTACTGCAGATGCAGCAACAAACAGAGCAGTCATTTTCTTTTCACTTCCTGAAAGCGACTCTTGTGCCTACCTCCTCAGTCTTTGCATTGCCGTTGGCGTCGCCGTTCCAACCTAACCCCGGACCAACAACATTCAATAACACCAAGGCACTTTTGTCAAAAAGAAAATGCCCAACACCACAACTCCTCTACAACAACTAAGACGACTGAGAGCACTCAGGCGAAAGCACCACATCAATCGATAAATCAACATACACGTTTTTAAAAACGAAATCCAATACTACAGCTATCAACACAAACGACACCGATCATCATGACCACGCGATTCGCCGGGGACCCCGTCCTCCCGGGCATGCGCCCTCAACACTCCAACATGAGTAACTTCACATCTGAACGAATGAACCCTGAGCGCCGTAGAACCGTAGCTGCTCGGCAGCCACGAACCAGCTTCTCGAATGGATCAGACATTTCAACTTCATCAATGCAACCTAACGTCGGTGCATCACCTGCTGTGTCCCTGAGAGCGGCCAGAGTAGTGAAGACGCCAAGACGACCGACTGTTAATACTGCAGCCACGGCTCATAGCCCTCGACAGTCTCACAAGGTCTTCTTCCGTCCGAGATCTAAGGGCGTCTGGGCTGGAACCCATCATGGCACCGATAGCCAGGACTTCACAGCCGACTCTGATGACTCCGAGTATAGCTCGTCGTGCCTCTCGACTAGTACTCAGGCCACCACAGTATATGACTCGGACGTTACTGTCGGCAAGGGATCTAGTGCAGGCAAGGTCATGCGGGCTCCCACCCCAACCGCTCCAGTGCGTCGAGGCGGCCTGCGGCAAACGACGTCTCGCACTGGCACAGAAGCCTCTTCCTCGCGTAGCGGATCAGGCGTCACTGTCGAGACACCAAAGCGGACTGTCCACATTGAAGTCCTTGCGGCAAAAGAGAACCAACAGGATACCCGCCATCAGAAGCAGATCGAGCATGTGCTCATGGAAAAGATTGAGCAGCTGGAGCTCGAGAAGAGGAGCTGGCATGAGAAGGAGAGCAGCGCATTGAAGGAACTGGAAGATGCCATGGAGAGGTCATCTTCTCTTGGCATTGGGAAAGAGGAAGTTGAAAAGCAGCTTGACGACGAACGAAAGCAACGAGGCGAGGATCGACAGCATCTGGATGACCTCGAGCAGGAGTTCATCGAGCAAGGCAAGATGCTTGGTGATCTGCGTCTCGAGTTTGACAAACAGACATGGGATATCGAAGCCTACGAGAAGGAGAAGACCACATGGGTCGAACTCAAGGCTGCTTTGGAGGAAAAGTGCGCCGAGCTTGAGAAAAGCCTCCAGGAGATTCAAGACCACAGGGATGCCAAGCAGACCTTCCTGGTCGAACAGGTTGCGTCACTGCAGATTATCAAGGAGTCTCTAGAGGGCCGCGTCGGTGCCCTCGACAGTGAGCACGTCGCTCAACAGACAGAGATCGGCAATCTACTCAAGGAGCGCGACCGTCTTCGTGAAGAATCAGAACAGCAACAAGCCTCCTTGAAAACGCTAGCCGAAGAGAAGGTTGCCGTCGAGGAGGAGAAACAAAAAATTCAAGCTCGAGTCGAGGAGCTCGAGGGCGAAAACGAAACCCTTAAGGCGCAAGTCCGGGACCTTGAGACTGATGTGCAGAACCTTAAAACACAGATTGAGGGCTTGGAGGGAGAGAAAGTGGAGCAGAACACTCAAATCACCACTCTCACCACGGAGCGCGATGAGCTCAAGGCGGAGAACGGCGCGCTCAAGGAACAGACCTCTACTCAGGACGCGGACATCACTAAACTTCGAGACGAAATGGCTCCTCTCAACGATGAGCTTGATCGTCTTCGGCAAGAAAGTCCTATCGCGGAGCGAGATGGCCTACTTGCAGCTACCGCTCTCCTGAAGGCCCAGAATTCTGATCAAGAGGCCGAAATGGTCAAGATGCGCGACGAGCTCAAGAATGCCCAGGATGAAGTTACGAAGCTGGCAGATAACCAAAAGGCTCTACAAGCCGAAAATGATGAGCTCAAGACAAAAGCTCCTGAGCCTCAGCAAGACACGACAGCAACCGAGGAACTTCAGCAACAAATCAGCGGCCTTGAAGAGCAGAAGAAGAAGCTCGAGGAAGAGGCAGCGAAGGTTACAGCTCTTGCTACCGAGAAAGCAGAGCTTGAGTCTCAGAAAGCTGAGCTAGAAGCCAAAGCATCGGAACTTGAGTCGGCCAAGGCGGAGCTGGAACAACATGCTAGCCAGGTGCCCCTTCTAAGGACGGAAAATGCCAACCTGGTCAGCCAACTGAGCGCAGCTCATCAACAGGTTGAGGAGCTTGGTGCAGCCCAGCAGAAGTCAACAGCAGAGATGGCTGACTTGCAGTCCTTTGTCAATCGGCTGGCAACGCCAAAGAGAGCCCAGTCAGAGTCCAGAAGCACCACCAGCAGTAAGAAGAAGAGCAGTGCCAGGAACAGCAAGGAGGAGCTGGTAGTTGTGCGAAATCCACAAGATCGTGGTAGTATGTAAGTGACCATCCACCCCGACGTCAATCTTAGGAGCCAACGGCTAACCCTTTTTTAGACAAGTCATGCGAAAATGTGACCTGCGGCCGGCGAGAAGTCAATCTCAGCCTTCAGATGACTAATATTGTGCTATTGTGTGGGAGTATGTACAGGGTAGAGACATTCATTGGGTTTGCGAGGAACTGGGACTAGAGCATCTGGGCATTGTAAAAGGGGACCTCTCGGTCGCATGTACATGGCTAACTTCTGCCTGTGGAAGAGAAAAGTCTTGTTTTTACTGTAGGTTTCATATGTATTGCATGAAGGAAACGTTTTGGAATATGGGCAAGGGGCTTGAACTGGGCGCTCGAAGTATTGTGGTTTGCTTTGACTTTGTTTGATTACTGCAATAGACTTTATTTTTGTTTTTGCTTTAACTTTTGTCCGTCCCGCCGTGCTTTTCCCTAGCTATGATGAGTTCCCTTTCAATGAAGCTTGCCTTCTTCGTAAATGCGTGGAGCTGACCCAGCTCACGAGCGCTTCGCCAATGCAATGATGCTGAACTCGGTGTTCCCATCTGCTGCATTAAGAAATTTTCTGACGCCTTTCTCCAAAGCTGCCTCGCTGAGCATATCGTCTCCCTCGCCAAGTTCGCCGCGATCAATCGGACCGTCTGTGCTTCCTTCCAACTCCCACAAATGCCCATCGCCTCCCTTCACGAATGTCAAAAAATGGTACCCACAAGCCTCATCTGCTCTCGGCGCCGAGCTGTCACCCATCCTAGCAGCGCGCATATGAGACTTCTCCAACTCCTCGCTGTTATACAGCAAGTCTGCTCTAGGCAAAGGCTTCAGGGCCCTGGCCTTCTGGAAAAGTCCGTCGAGTGTCGAGCCTGCTTGGATAAACTGTTTCGCTTCGCCATTGGCGACTGCGTGAAGCAAGGCTATGAGCCCACAGGCGTGGCCGATCGTCTGTCTGAACCACGTTACTGACTCCTCGTCTCCGGACTTGTCGTAGCTGATTCCATCCTTGGCCAGAGATGTGCCATCCGCGCCACGGACGGCATAGTAAGGAGGTGCTGGGGTGATGAAGATGAGTGCCAGAGCAGGACGGGGGACGAAGGCGAGCAGGTCCGGATCGTCGAGGCTGTAAACGTCGGAGAACTCGAGCTCTGAAGACACGCCGAGGTCGTGGATGAGTGAGGTGAAGACCTCGGGATTATTTTCCAACGGGATGAAGGTCTTCTTCCCGGAGGGATTGACGTAGACGCCTTCGGTAGGCATTGCGGCGAGGATGGGGATGCCGTTCTTGCTCACTATAAAGGGAGCGACGACTACTTTCTTTTATGTCCGATCCTGTGCGCTTTGACGTCGTTGATGGTTTACCCTAGATGATGCAAGGAGATGATCTATAAACACCTCTGTCTTGCCAAGGAAGGAAGCTGATGTCGCAGGGAAGAAGGCGGCGATGTAAGTTTAGGCAAGTACGAATATTGTAGCGGCCTCGCTTTGGGTTGAGGCGTAGGCACTGGTAGGCAGCTGCCTTGTTTGCGTGTTGCACGGTGTTGTTCAGCACAGTACTGTGGCTAGGTTTTCATGAGAGGTTTACAGTGCGAGCTGGAGGGGTCAGGCCGCCTCACCCCGCCAAACTGATGCTGATGCAAACCACAAAAGAATGAATGAAGGCATAATCTTCACAGATATTGACATCATAAAGACCTCAATTGCACACATTAATGGATTAATCAACTGACCTCTACGCAGGGGAATCTTGGAAAGGAATTTTCGATGAAGGTAAAGACGCTTTTGACCTTTCCGTTGTTTTATTGCATGCCTCTGCGTGATCCTGAACGTCAAGATTGAACCAACACCTCATAGCTGGAATGAGAAACTACTTTTCGCTGCTATTGTCAAACTCCCACCAATCGAAGTTGAAGAGGTAGTTCGTGCCATTTCCTACGAAGCGAAAGAAAAGATTGTGAGTATCAATTGCCCCAGTAACAGGGCAATCAACTGTTATCCAGGTCTGCCAGCCGCCAGTGCTCGGAACAATGTAAGTGCCAATTACTGTGCCGTCTCCAGCATCCAAACGGAGCTCAATGGCGCCACCGTTGGTCGCAGAGGCGACACGGGCATGAAACGAGGTTGCACCATCGCCAAAGGCAACACCCTTGACCTTGATGTAGTCGCCATCGTTAATGAAGCCGATATTGATGCCACCCTCGCTGCACACCACCGTCTCCACACCTTCAGTCCAGGCTATCGTTTCGGCCTCCTGGCGAACATACGGGTTGAGGGGTTGTATCTGTGCTGGCCCGTCCGCAGTCATCGTGATTTCGGGGATAGACCCATTACTGTTGTAGACAAAGCCCTCCACGGCTACGGACCGGGTGAAGCCGCTACCACCAGGGAGGGCGCCGTTGTGATAGAAGAAGTACGTAGAATTGCGAAAGTTGATGATTGCTGGGTGGTTCGTAAAGCTAGCCCCCTCGGCTGGCATGATAATACCGCCATACGTCCAAGGGCCAGTGGCAGTTGGGGCGGTTGAGTAGCGTATGTCCTCAGGACAACAAACCGCGGCATAAATCAGGTAGTAGAGGCCGTTATCCTTATATATCCAAGGTCTCTCCTCAAACGTGGTGTTGCGATCCGAGTTATCGAGGCGTATCCCGAAGCCTTCGGCCGTGAGCGGGACTTAGGTAATGTCTCCGCCGTATGAGATCATATCCTCATTCAACTTGACATACCAGAGGTCTGGGTTCCCCCAATATATGTAGGCCTGGCCATCGTCGTCGAAGAAAACGGTCGGGTCCATCCGATCATTCTCAAGCAGTGGTCCTCCTATAGCGTCCACGTATGGGCGACAATACTGTCACTCACACCTACACCAATGGCCATTCCATTGGTAGTGCCATTGCGAACTGGCGCGTAGGAGTAAAAATTCCCGTTTCGAGCGATGACCTGTCCTGCCCACGCATTCGCATCAGCCCAGCTGAAAGTGTTGAGGTCCATTGGCGAACCATGGTGCTTCCAATTAGCCATGTCTTCCGATGAAAATAGAAGCCAATTCTTCATTGTGTAGGTAGTAGAATTATCTTCATCGTGACCAGTGAAGAGATAAACGCGGCTACTGTACACTAGCGGTGCTGGTCTGCGGTATATTCGGTCTGGATAATCGGATTATCACCGCTGGCAATACTGACAATATCCAGAAGCATGATGAGATATAATAACTCTTGAGCCTTCTATATTGGGTGGTCATTAGCAGCCCAGCTCATTCTTGTGTTGGGAACGGCTACACCCCTCCGATGACAGTTTCAAGTTAATATATTTGGTGCTGAAAAGAAAAATACGGTCCTATCAAGTGCGGTAATTGACCGCTAGGGATACTTACACTGTTGGGCGATAGTCATGGTTTGGGGGGGTGAAGTGGAGAGCATTAAGGATTCAGCGGAAGCTGTTCCCATGCTTGAGGGGGCGTCTCTTCTCCACCGGAATGTGGAGGAAGAGCCTATATAAATTCCAGCTCCTCCAGCACAACATTACATGCTTGATATCTCTAAATTCATGTACTTACCTAGTCATTATCATGACATCTGTTTCTTGCCTCCTTTTCTCCTTGATGCATCTTGTGGGATCCCAGACTGTCTCAGACAGTACCGTTGGCTTGAGCATTAGCCAAAGGTACACCATTTTCAGCACCAGTCAAGATGGCGTTGACGAGGCAGGCTTCTATTATTCGCTATATGATCCGAACCAGACTTAAGTCGGATACACCGAATACCCTACCAGTGGAGACTTTGAAATTGGTTGGGACTTGCCGACTGCTACTGAGTTCCTTGGTGGCAAGGGGAACAAGTCCACGGTTACTCTGTACGTTTCACAGCACGGTCTTTGTAACTTTTCTCCCTTACGCCCACACGGCCTAGGCATGTCATACCACACATCTAACTATTTCCTTACTGCAAAGCGCCCTATCATGGGATGGGTACTTCACTGCTTCTGGTGATTATACCCTTGCTATTTACGGGTGGACCCTAGACCCCGTCACCGAGTGGTATATTGTCGAAGACCACGGCATTGGCACGCCTGGCAATGGAATCATTATTGGCACTATCACCAGCAACGATGACGTTTACGATGTCTACGACTTATACTACACAGACGTGCCTGAGATATACGGTGTCACCTCCTTTCATCAATATTGGCCTGTTCGGCGGGTCCAGCGTACTACGGGCACAGTAGATGTTACAGCACACTTCGAGGCTTGGGCGTCTTCTGGCCTCGATCCCGGTACCCCAATCTTCCAAATGGTCACTCGAGGGCTTCAGTGGTGAAGGTTATCTCAACTTTAGTGTCATACAAAGCAGGCCATCTCGCAGTAATGTTGTTCCTCGAGATGCCGTTGCACTCATTTTCTCTTTTTTAACTGTATTGTTAGTCACCGTTGTCGATTGACAAAGCAAAGTCCTCAAATAGGGGTCCTCGAGTACTGTCTTGAAGAGTTCTCTTCTCGGTATATTAACTTTGATGAGAACACCATCGTCTGTAAACTCATGGAGATCAAAATTCGAAGACACATACTCTCTTTGAATATGCATCCTCAGAAGAGTCTCAAGCATAGAGAGGGTGGTCGCCACAATGATTTCCTCATACGACAAGTACTGTCGGGCTTCGTAATAAGGCTTGCCACACAGACGAGAGTTTGAGCATATTAGATATGACCATAGCGGGAATCAAGACGGAAATTTTATCTGCACTGCAGATCCTGAGGGATCGAGCGTCGCTTGAGCAATTGTTGACTGTCGCAGTCCCTTGTAGACTCCCAGCTGGACGCGTAGTCCAGATACCTAATTGAGTAATTATCGGCACTTGTTAACCCCTGTCGTCCCATAGCGCCGGGATCCACTGTGGACTATGGGGACCGGAGCCGCAGACGCTCTACTGCCCTGTGAAACAAACATCATGGAGTACAAATTGTTCCTTGCGCTAGAAACTGCAGATTCAATAGCCAGCGTTCTCGTATTCAAATCTCGAACTGGATCCAATGTGGCTAATTTGTTACTCAAATGATTCGTTCATAGCTAGGAGCATTTGACCCTCATCTATTGAATCAACGTTTGACTCTCACACGCTCTCAACAAGACACGTGAATAGTCTAGGCGGCTGGACCAAACATTCTAATCCTGGTTTGTGCGTAGTTGTTTCACGGCAGGTTGCACCGAGAAACGCACTAGGATCTGAAAACGAAGTGTTCGTTTAATGAGAAAAAGATGACACGGCTGTTTTGTATGAAAAAGGGATTCCGCACCCGTCGCACGGTTGCAGTGAAACCCCATCAAAAGTCTCCATTCGAGTTGGAGCGGCTGCATGGCAGCCGCCTAGGTTTCTATCCATTCTCAAGATATTTGATTCGTCAACTTGCGCGAAGGAGGCTGGCAGTGATCTGAGCGCATGTAACCTCTCGTCGTAGACTGATAAAAATGGCCAGTGATCAGACCAGGGCAACATCTACGGTGGTGTCGTGTATTGCTCTTCTCACAAACATGATCGGCGGCGCAACTACTGGAAGTTCCTTGACTGAGGTGGACTTATCACGCGTTTGACAATGTTGTTAATCCACTTTAGAAACGTACCATTTTAGCAATAGCATAGGAGTTGCCCAATAGAAAGTAGTCATTAGCAACACAAAAAAGCTCTTTGGCACGGAAGTATAAGAGTGCCGGGACTATCGCCAAAGTCATTCAAGGTAGAGTCTTCTAGCTTTCTATCTTCTCATACGCCTTGAATCCTTTTGTCTTATCTCAAGCACCCCCCAATCCTATCTATAAACCACTCTGTTCAATTTGTCTCTCGTTGAATCGGATTCGGAGATCTCAAGCTTATCCGCCGGACCTTGTATATGTTGAGACTCAAGGCGATCACCATGGGATTCCAAACTTCCACCATATTGATAGCAGCTGTAGCTGGACTCTGTGGTTTAACTACTGCTATTAACGACGATTCTGCTCCACCTATGAGGCGGCAAGCTTCTTGTCCCTCCGTATGGTCTGATGCTGCTGTTGATCTCAAATCATCGTTTACAGAGACGAATGGAACGTGTACCGATGATGCCCGTGCTGCCATACGGCTCTCCTTTCACGACTGCTTCCCCGAAGCATGTGATGGTTCCATAATACTCGCAAATGAATGCACCGATAGAGGGGAAAATTCGCAGCTGGTAGACATATGCAGCATAATTGGAAGCAAAGCCTCGCAGTACAACGTCAGCACGGCTGACATGATCCAGTTCGCGACCGGCAAGTCCACCTCATATATGAAACGATTAACGGCACATGCTAACAAGCGTTATCAATCAGCAATCGCCATAGCTTCGTGCCCTGGAGGGCCCACAATATCGTTCAAGGCCGGTCGCACCGATTCCACGACCGCAAACCCCACAGGACAAATGCCGGGTCCTTCCGACAATGCCACTGTGTTGATTGCTGCTTTCGAAGCCAAAGGATTCACAGCAACCGAACTTGTCGCACTTGTTGGTGCTCACTCCGCTGCTAAGAATCTTGCTGGTACCGGGCTTGACTCGACTCCCGGAGACTGGGATACTGAGTTTTATACGGAAACCGCTGATGGAACTGCGCCGACAACACTGGACAGTGATAAGTTTCTTAGTAACTCAAGTGAGACGAGCTCTGTATGGAGTAGCTTTGCCGAGAGCTCAAGCTCCTGGCAAGATGCCTTCGTGCCAGCGTAAGCATATACATTTTTTGTTCGTATCTATTACGCCAATACCTCGCCACTGACACGCGTGTTAGAATGGAGAAGATGAGCCTTTTGGGAAACGACGTATCAAATTTAGTTGACTGCTCGAGCGTCATCACAGGTGCCTTTGCGTCTAGTGTAAGCGCAGCTCAAGCGCAGGCTGATTTGAGCAATGTTGCGGAAGCCACGCCATCGACATCGATATCCTCCAATGATGGCAATATTGTGGGCAAGATGGAGATGAACGCACCTCTGGCTCTCGTCTTATCCCTAGGCCTCCTGCTCATATGGAGGTAATATTACAATGACGAAAAGAGGAGAGAAAAATGTAATAAAATGAAGCTCCCGGGAGCTTGGCAATTGAATTTGTATGTATGATTATGGTAAGCGAGGCCACATATGTGACCTCCAATGTGAGCCTCTAAAAGGCTTAGGTAAGCGTACCGAGCAGGGGATAAGTGTTTCCAATGAGACAGCTGTAGTAATTTACTCTTATTCACCAGGTTGCTGCTGCGCCACGCACAAGCCTTCATCAACTTCATCGCCCCACGATCAAGACCTGGATTTCTC